ACAAGAATCATCCATCAAAGCAAGGATACTGAGATTTGGCGAGGCCTCAAAGAACTTCAATGATGGACTCTGGCCTCAGACCCCAGAAGTCTCAAAGTCAAGGCAATGCCCACCCTCTGTTGCTTACATTAATACTTAGAAAACTGAGGGAAGAAAGTGAAGGGGTTGAGGAAAGAAAATAAAATTTAGAAAATTCTTTGAAGCCAGCTCCAGGGACCCAGATGTGTGATGAACGGTTCATCTGAAAGTGACTAGTTAAGATGACAGTAATACAGAAGTAACTTGATTGCCAAAGCAGCAATCATCCAGGTTCTGGGTTCCACCACCATAATTCTACCAAGACTTGTCAAAAGTGCGTTCCATGGTTAAAGCGTGAACGGGGGCCAGAGGTGTGGCTCAGCTGACACAGGGCTTACCCAGCATGCAGAAAGCCCCAAGCTGGAACTCCAACAAAACATAAACCAGATGGGGTGGTGTGTGCTCCTAATCCCAGCAATCCAGAGCTACAAGCAAGAGATCAGAAGTTTTAGGTCATCCTTGGTTACATAATGAGTTTGAGTCCATGCTGGACTATGTGTGAGGTTGTCTCAGAAAGTAAAATAAAACCCTAAAGTAGAGACGGAATGCCCAAAGTTATGTAAAGGAGCCCTGCTCAGACGAGAGAACTTTCCAGCAGCTATGACTCACAAGCAATAGTCAAACGGTAAAATCATGGGAACCAAGTTGACCCACACTGCATCCCAGCTGCCCCCCCCCATTTAGTCCTCCAGAAGATCTGGGCTTGCTAACTCCTTCACCTAACACCTGCCAGCCACCCACCATGCTGTGTACAGGGTCTGTGCTAAGAACACAAGGACAAGACTGCACGATTTGTGCAATAAGGAGCTGACAGGCTGAAGAGTGGGACTGTGTCAACTAAGCACAGAATGATGGACTACCCCACTGCATGCTGCACTGGGCCAAGGCACCCCAAAGTTGTCACAGGGAGGTTCTACAGCTGGGTGGGGAAAGCACTCAGCATTAATGTTGAGGACACCTAGTCTTTGGCACACAGAAAGGACCAGACTACCACAGCTGCTTCAGTCTTCTCGGGATACACCTTTCAATAAACCAGTGGCTAGACAAACAGATGTTCATCAGAGGTAGGAGTGCGCCTGAGGCCACGGGTGGGTGGGGAACAGAGACCACAGCAAGGTTGCTCTAGCAGCATCTTTATTTACAAACAGCAATTCCCAATGACTTTATACCATAAAAAAGCCATTTACAAGCAAGAAACAAGAATTCAGAACAAAATTAAGCAGCACTGAAATATTCATGTCACAAACCTAAAGCAAAATGAATACAAGAGTAAAATATCATTTGAATAAATAGTCTTCAATTCATGCTATAAAATAACCCTTAATGGCAAGTTACTAGTTGATACAGCATCCGCTTAGCTAGCTTCATTTACTTCACGCGGTGATGAAGTGTGGCGTTGTGAGGTTACCAGTTTATATTGCAAGATAATGACACCATGTGAAGTCATTCAAATTGCTCAGCCATTTGTAACGGAAGACTATGTTAGCCCTACTGCTGAAGTGTTAAGAGATGGTTTCACATCAGGAAAAGGTCGTTCTCAGGGGAGGCAGTGAGTTTACCTCTTGCTCTAGTCAGGGCGGCAGCCTGGGACTTAGAACCCCGAGGCTGAGTTCACAGCATAACTTGTCACTGAAGGGCGGTGAGAGGTCTGTGTGCTCAATCTGTCAATGAGCAGTGAGCGAGGCTTACTCCAGTAGCTACTGAGGAGCAGCGATAGCCCTGTCTGTGCCAGACCCAGGGGGCACCTGAAGCTGGCAAGCCCTGGTAGGAAGCGGGAACTCTGGGACTTCCTGAAGACGACGTGTGGCGACCGTTACAAATGTGGAACAGAGTGAATGACTTCGCTGAACTCTCAGTTCAGCTGCACTGAGTATATGAAATCTACGATGTAAGAACTAGACAGTTTCGTATAAAGAGTTTACATAATTTCCCAATACTTTCATATATAAAATTTAATAAATAACCCTGACCAGGCTAGAAGCACCATTCAAGGGGCATGAGCCCTTGGAAAATAGTTTAGATGTTGCATATTTGAGTCCCTTTCAGTGGAGGCTTCACAGGAAACCATTATAGAATTTAACAACAGTGATAACAAAAACATCACAGTAACAGTAACAAGTGGAAAGCTGAAAATAAGACACATCAACCTAAAGTAGAGCTCATTCACATGGACCATTTCCCCTAGCCCTTGCTTTGTGTTCCTGCAAATTCTCCCCAGAATCCAGGTTGTTAAAATCAAACTCACATACAAAAAAATATGCAGGCCTGTGGTCTGGGCTAAGGGTAAAACAAAAGAGGTGGTTATACTTGCTGTCATTAGAAGAGACATACACTTAAGCTCTGGGAAGATTTACCAATTTAGTCCTACAGTATATTCTACTTAACAGAGAACCGACAGTATCCTTTCTGCTGTTCGAAAGAGAGAGGGAAGGAGGAGACAGGGAAGGGAGGAAGGAAGGGAGGAAAGAAGGAAGGAAACAAACAAACAATCCCCACCAAACAACAAAAACTTGCCAAGGCAGAGCCAATTGATCGGGAGGCTTTTCCACTGAATGGGAAAATGAACTCATCTTTGTCCTTGTATGTACAAACGGTTTCTAAATGTATTTACAGCTTTAGTAGAAACGAGAGGGCAGAAGACTGATGAAGAAACATAAGGACTGAAAACCACAAGTGTTAGCAAAAGTATAAAACGTCTTCACAGTTTGTGCAATGGGGTAAATGTCACAGGGAAGGAAGGGTGCTGTGGCTGTCTTCACATTGTCTAACACGGGAAGGTAGCTGAGAAGAGACTCAATTACGCACAGGCCTGTATGAAAGCAGGACATACTTCACTGTAAAGGATGTCTTCACATATTGTTTATCTTAGTGGACTTCTGCGTCTGCTATAGTGAGAGACCTAACCTACAACTGTACAGGGACAGGTTTGCTGTCCACAAGGAGTCGCTCTAAGGAGTTACACAGCGAGCTTAAGGGAAAGAGGCCTGCTCGCGTGGCCAAGCTGGCTCTCCTGGCACATCCTCATGTAGCTAGGCACAACTGACCGCTGTTGCCCTGTCTGCCTGGAGAGCCCTCGGCAGCCATGCCCACCGGCAGACACCTAGTGCAAGTGTGCAGACAGGCTATGCAGTGCTGTGCTGGCCTGGGCACTGCCTCCCTCGAAGCCCCGTGAACTTTACAGTACTGTGTTATGGCTTGAGAATTCATTTTTAACACTGCTAGCAGTGGAGAGGGTAAAGTGTTAGCAACACGAATGGGAGCAAGCGCAACTTGCAAAATGCGGAATCATGATCATTAAAAACTCAAATTGGTTTTCTGCCCCTTAACAGTCCCATTACAATGTTAGAACCTGAACTGTACAATCAAAGCAATGTATATTTTTGTCAAAGACAATTTTGGATAAGTCACTCTTTGGTAAACTCAAACCAGCTAAACAAATTGACAAACATAAGAACTACAAGTACGTAAGTTCAGAAACAAGAACTACATGTACATAAGTTCAGACAGACAGTGACAAGAGCCAGGACATGGGCGTGCTGCCAGAGTGCGCTCCCCTCACCACAAAAAGCTCTGGAAACATCTTGGAAGGCCCTGGGCCTAAGTGAAAAGGAGGCTCCTTCCCTGAGCTCCACGTCGCACATCCTTGAATTTGGGGCCTTTTTGTCACAAACTTAACTGTTATCACAACACAAAATAAAAAAAAAAGTTTTGCATTTAATTCTCAAAAAGAAAAGTCAAAACAAAATATATTTGTGTAAGGAAAATGAAAAATCACAAACATTTACCTGAAACCTCAGAACACACTTAAGTAGGTAAACACTTGGGAGTCCATTCTCCCCTTGAGGCGTTCAGCTTTCTCAGCTGAACAAATGCTTCACGGAGAGAACAACCCCGATTTAGGCAGTCTGACGAGGAAAAGGCATACCGTATACCCGATCAGCAAGAGCCGCTCCCAGGAGCAGCAGGATTAGTCATCTACAGGAGTTAACACTGAGGTGAGGCGAGCAATTCACATATGAGCAGATCCTGTGTGCTAAGACGGTGCCACTGTGTGCACCGGGGCTGCTACACATGAAGGAAGGGCTGGAATCAAACTTTTTCTCAAATAACCCCCCGCCCCTGGCAAAAAACAAAAAAAACAAAGCTGGGTGGTGATGGCACACACCTTTATCCCAGCACTCGGGAGGTAGAGGCAGAAGAATCTCTGAATTTGAGGCCAGCCTGGTCTACACAGCAAGTCCAGGACAGTCAGGGCTACACAGAGAAACCCTGTCTTGAACCTCTCCCGCTTCCTGCAAAACAAAACAAAAAACAAAAAAACAAAAACCACCAAACAAACTAAACAAAAACACCTCCCCCCAAACCCATCATTCTTGGTATTTTAAGAGCCAAAAAAGCATGGCAAATCAGCAAACATTTATTTTGTATTCCCTAGCTCCTAGCCTCTGAGGTTGGTCCTCAGTTTCTGGGTTTTGTTTGAGTCTGGGGCTCAGAGCCCAGGTACTCAGGCAGAGACTAGAGCGCTGCTGTCTCTGCAGTCAGCTGCAAACCTGGCCTGTAAACTGCCTACCAAATTGCCCTCTCTGCCTGAGTTCACAGAACCAGAGCATTTGTGAAGCCTGTTGGTGTATATGAACCTAAGAGCAAACAGACATCTTCCAAAGCACTGACCAGACATAACTCAGACAGTAACCCGTTTGCCAGCACATGCTTTTGAGGTTTCTTTTCAAGCTGTGAACTTGAGAGGAAAAGTAAATAAGTCATCACTACTTGTAGGCTTCACATTTTCTAGACGATACTGACCTAAAAGATACTTAACATAAAAATAGCACCACGTGACCAAAAATGGTGAGACATACACACAGATTTGGTGACACACTGAGGATCTTAGATGGTTTTGACATTTTTTTTCTTTAAGCAAGAAACACTGAGAGAGTGGAGGAGCCACTGAGGCTCTCATTAGCACACACAATACTAAGATTAGATATATTGCTTGCAATTCCCGTAGAGTACAGCTTTACAAAAAGTACAAATTCCAAGTTCTGCAGTTTCCCTGGGAACTGCATAGAAAAAGTTGTTGTGCACCTGAACTGGCTGTTTGAGGAGAGAGAGAAAAACCAACAGAAAACAAACGATAAAGCACAACACTACCTGGAGAATTCTGTAGGCAAGCGCTACAAACTCCTGCCCTTTAGTGAGAGCACTGCTCACGGTGGAGTGATCTGATTAGTTACCTGGTATGTATGCTTCTACAGTACGGAATGAAGGTAGGTAGATTTGTAGTAAAAACCTTGAAAACCACTGCTCCTTTGGGGTTGGCTAGTATAACACTACACTGTGTAGAAAGGTCAGCACCACAGGTCATCCAGCACTGCTGGACAACGAACAAAAGTTCCAAATGGTTCCCACTACAGTTGAAGGAGTTTTATGGCATTTGGTTTATGTGTTTGTTATGAAGCAGAGCTATGAACACTGTGATTTGCTTTGCTTGCATTTGGACACAATGATTACTGTATGTGAAAAATCTACTGACATTCTTCAGTAAGGAAAACAAAGGGTGGAAACTAACATAGTAGGCGGGGTTGAAACAGAGTCAGACTCTGTTCACATTGTATTAAATTATATATTCCTCTTACATTCACCTCAACCAGAATAAACCCCAATTTGAGAATGTATATATACTATATATATAATAACCACTTTATTATATATATATAAATTGTCTAACTACCCCCTAAAACTAATTTTAAATTAGAAAAGGTTACCCATTTGTATCAGCTGACGGCATCTTAGCCTCTTTCCATTAAAATGCACCCACAGTGAAAGAGTGCCTGCCTCTTGGCAGAGAACGTGGGGTCAACCAGTTGGCATAGCTAAATCACTGGCAGAGTTGGGAGAAGCATTCAGCCAAAGAGGAATACTGTCAGTCTGTGTTTTCCCTGGATCTGCTGCCCTTCATGCTTTGAGCTCCTGGGGGAGGGGAGAGGAGATAAGGGTAAACACAAGTGCCACACCCAGAACCTTCAGAGAAACTACCAAGAAACCAAGAGATTTCCAGATGGGGAAAACCAAAGATTACAACAAAGCAAATCCCAACTATGCATTGACTGATGTGCTTTGTTCAGGAGCTCTTTCTCTGCAGCACCCTAGTCAGGCGCATCAGATACTGTGTGGATTTCCATTCGGGAATCCAGAGCCATTTCTGAGGCTGACACATCACTTTCAAGTTTCTGTTCCACGTACACATCTGTTCTTTCGGGAGACTCCATGCGACTCCTGACCTCAGTGACACCCGGGTGGTTTTTCCGCAGGTGCTGGTTGAGGGTGCCCTGGAATGGAAAGCACTTCCCACAGACCTCACAGCGGAATGGTTTGTCATCAGTGTGGCCCCGGATGTGGTACTCCAGCTGGTCCTTGCGTGTGTACTTCTTCCCACAGAACTTGCACACAAAGGGGGTGATTCCCATATGCAGTCGCATATGCCTGTCGAGGCTTCCCTTCTGGTTAAAGGACTTCCCACAGTAAATACAGATCAACCTCTCGTTGTATGGGTACCAGTAACCCCTTGCACTCCTCTCCCGGGGACTGCTCTCATAACTGGGATTGTTCATCATGGCTTCACTGTCAGATCCTTGCACCACACCCTGCAGGTCACTGTGCAGGTGAACAGACAGAGCCCGCTTCTGGCGGGCACCACGGCCTCGGAAGCAGCTCAGCATGGACCTGGATGGGCTGGAATTACTCTGACTTCCAAAAGCTTCTGGCATGCTGGAAGGCTGTGAGGCTGCCTGGGAGTAGGGATACGCATGCTGGAGCACAGAGCCATAGGCACCCACGTTCACCGCCACAACTTGCTCCCCATCAACCATCTCTGTGTGGTAGCCATCATCACCTAGGGAGGAGCTGTCAGAACAACTGGGCCGCTCAGACTTTTCCATTTTAACTTTGACCTCAGTGATCTGGCTCTCTCTCACCAACAAGTCCCCTTGCTCATGGTCCCCTTCAATTTGAATCTCGTACTCAGACACGCTGCCACTGCTCCCCCGATCTGAGTGTCCCTCTTCCTGTAAGCGGCTCCGAAGGGCTTTGTTGGGGGTCGTCTCCATCCGAAGATCGCTGCTTACTGGAGGCTGCCGTACCTGAGGGCAATATGGAGGGGAGATCTCAACAGGATTGGCGAAGAAGCTGCCATCTTTCACTCCATTCCGGCTCTCGGGATTCTCTTCAGCACCAATGGTGACAGAGTCAACATCTCCCACACTGATCTTTGAGTGGATGCTCTCCAGGATCTGCGTGCACTTGTCAATGACACACTGCATCTGAAGGAAGCTGGCTGCGGTCAGAAAACTGACAACATCCTTCAACTGCAAGGACATTCTTCCAGTGTAACAGAAGGACAGCAACTGCTCAAACACGCTGGGGTTCTTAATCACAGATATCGACAAGCCACTCATAGTGCTCAATGCTGAATGGTCCCGGAAATAAGGGGAGCTGGCAGCGAGGACAGCTTTGTGGGCTCGGAATGGCTGACCCTGAATGTGGACGATGATGTCGCATAGCTTCCCTTGCAGGCGGAGCTCGTTCAGTTGGCTCAGAACAGTGCTGCTGTGCTCAGGCACATCGAACTGAATGAAACTGCTGCTGTCCATGTCTACTGACACGAGGCGCGATCTGCAGAGACAAAGAGCATCCGTAATTCGCCAGAGCTCCTCAGCAAGACAAGCAGCATGAACACGAGCTCACATCAACTCCGCAGCCAGCACTCCTAGGATCTGCCTGAACATTCCTCCTCTTGCTTAGTGTTCATCTTCCTTCTCTCCATCAATTCACCTAAAGCCAAATAAGTGAACGATCAATTAACCCAGTATCATTCCTCTCGCTCAACACTCAATTTGATCAAAGTAAAACACTGCATGCACAGGAAGGCTGGCTCAGCTGAGGAAAAGTGGCGCCCTTCAAGAAAAATTACTATTCACCTACAACTGAGGGTCTCTAAAGGGCTCTACAAAAATGTTCCACTTCGTATACCACATCCTGCCTTGTATAATTCTCTATGTATGGTTTATATCTGTGTATATGTTTATGTACACATCATATGGGCAGGAACACGTGTGAGCATGCTTATAGAGGCCAGAGGTCAACAACACTGGCATCTTCCTTCTCCTATTGAGAGTAGTCTTCTACTGAGCTCACCAACTGGCAAGTCTTGCTAGCCAACAAGCACAAAACCCATCTGTCTCCAGCCCAAGGCACTGCAATCTGCATTAACAGGCACATGTCCCCAAGTCCAGTTTTAAAATTTTTATTATTATTTGTGTGTATAGGTGTTTTGCCCGATAGTATGACTATGTACCATGTACACTCTGTGTCCTCAGAGGCCAGAATTGAGTGATGGATCCACTGGGACTGCAGTTATAGATGGCTGTAAGCCACTCAGTGGGTGTTGAAGACCATGCCTGTGCTCTTAACCACAGTTCCAATCTTTTTTTTTAAAATTTCATTTTATTTATCTATGTCTGAGATGCCCGGTGCACATGCAGAGACCAGAGAACAGCTCTGGGGAGTTGACTCTTTCCCTCACAAGGACTGGG